GAAAAAGTTCTCTAATACAAAATGTTTTTTGAAAATGTGGATACAGATTTTCCTGTTGGGACAAAACTCGATACTTTACTTGGATTTAGACACAAACACTATCTAATAGTGCACAGTCATTATGTTTTGTTCATAAGGTCAAACGATTTAGTTAGGAAAGAGGAGTGTGATAAGCGTTGTTGCCCAGTCTTGCACCATAATCTGTAACATTTAGGTTGGTAAACAATCTAAAACTATATAAACACACAGGAAAGCTTTTACTGTAGATAAAAGTGCTTGAGCCATTAAACATGAAGGTTGGCGTCTTGTGTTTTGTGCTACTTTGGTGTGTCATGCAGGTGAGTTGACAATCGCTTTTTGCAATAATAAATTATGCTACAAAATGTTTCCATTAGGTGCTGTCAAGGGACGTGCCCGACGAATCACTAGACGACTACGCGTTTGAATGTTTTAAAGAACTCAACATCGATAAAGCGAAGTTCTCGTCGTACTTCGATGACGACATGAGGATGCGCGATTTGGATGAAACCGGAATTAAGATAATGAAATGTGGAGTTGAAAAGAGCAACTTTTTCAACCAGGACGGAAACGTTAATAAAGATGTGATGATTAAATCCGTTACCAAATGGCTTAAACTGCGGCTTACTAAGGGCGGGGATAAGGATTGGGAAGCGTTGGCCGAGCAATTTTGGGGAAAATGTGAGGATCGCTTGAAGGGGGAGGACAAAGTGGAGGTGATGAAAAATTGGAATCACTGTTTTACTGATGAAGTTATTCTTTATAATAAATAAACATGCTTTTTCTGTCTAATAAATAATGTTTAGACTTCCGCCAGTGTTGTTCTTTTAAATTTTAGGTTAGGAATCTGAGGCGTAACTCATAAGATTCCCAGAAAGTCAAACAGAAGGGACTTTGGATTATTTAATAATTAATGGCTAAAACTTTATACAGGATGTCCCGTGACTCGATGAACGTAGCTTAATACCATATTGCTCAATTTTAAATCGAAATTTCCTTATACACTTTGTCCAAAACTCAATCGTTAAGAAGTTATGGGCAATATTAAATTTAACAATAAATCAATCTAGTAGGCCATGAAATTATTTTGTCACACTGTTATGGTGACATTTTGTCGTTGGAATATTAGATATTTTTATATTCAGGAAACCTCCGCTGTTATTCCCTCACTGCTGCTCTTGCATATCCGTCCCAGTATCCGTAAATAAAGTGAATATCCGCATAATTATTCTTGATCTGAAAACCACTGTCGCCGTAACAATATGACAAAACAATTACATGGCCCACTACATTGATTTATTGTTAAATTGAATATTGCCCTTCTCAACTATTGAGTTTTGGACAAAGTGTATAAGGACATTTCCACTTGGTGTTAAGCTATGTCCATCGCGGCACGGGACACCTTGTATAAACATACGTCCGCAAACGCTTTTCTATCGATCTACAGGGTGTTATAATTTTACGATCAGAACTAATAAAAAAAATGAAAAATAGGTTATCGCTTTAAGGCGACTGACTTTAGCTCACTTTTCATGAATTAATCAGTACCTCCCGAAAAGTAATATAACGGACTATTTATGTGTAGGTACAAGGGAAAATAAGTTATGTGATAAAATATTCTTATAAAATCTTATAAACTTAACATTGCGCAGTCTGCGCTTGAGCGCACCTGAAGCTTACAATATGCTATATGTTTGCCTTTACTAGAAGAATCTTTGGTTAAAATTTCAAAAAAAATCTCTATAAATAGGAAAGTTGACATTGCGAAAATTAATCCTCAAAATTTTTCTTGTTTGATATGCCAGAGCTATAAGCTACCGAATGCAAAAAAAACGAACTAAATATCTAGAAAACTATACGAGTAGTTAGGAACTTCCTGTAAATTTAACTATAGTAAATAGGATGAAGTAGTGGTACTCTATTTCATAATAAAGTTACGTTACGACAAATCAAAATCATAAACGAAGATCTCGAGTGCATTTTAGTTAAACCTGACCTCGCAGGTGATCAAGTGATAGGTACGATTGCAGCTAAAGAAACCACGGAACTAGAAAAATCATCCCCCGAGTAATCGACATAGACTAAATAAACCCCTAGAAGGGATCTAAAAAAGCGGCAGAGCACCTCGGCGTCATTCGATTTGCCCAATTTTCAATAAGCTTGTTACATGTGGTATGCAGGCTGATTCAAATTCGAGGGCCACGATGGGGATCTCGGGAACTGTAAGAGATGGATAGGTAGAATAAATTTGGCAAAGTTCTGTGTTTTGATGCTTAACAAAATGTAGTTTTGAAATTGCAAAAATTCCGACTACTTTCGGAGATATCCGGAAAAACGCGAAATTTATTTTGCGAAATGGTTTTTATTTTTTACTGAACTTATTTAAAAATGTATTTCGAAATAAATGACACATTATATATGGCCAATTTTTTCCCTCTACTCTTTTAAATTTAATGTTTTATCTCCAGTGTCAACCATCATCAACTTTGTTTTTTCTTATGAAAGTAATTTTTACTTTTTGGCATTTGATGTAGAATTTTTTTGTAATTTAAAAAATGTGAACATTACTATCTTTTATAGTGCTATTAATTTGTAAAAACGCAAGAAACTAAGTACGCGTACGTACACTGCCCAAGACAATGTTTTCTAGGCGAAAAAGAAGATATTTTAACTATATTTAAAAAAAATTGTGAATTTTGAAATCAGAAAACAATTCTCTATCAAATTACACAAAAAGTAAAAGGCATTAAAAGGTTCCTTTTTTAAATCGATCCACCTTAGGGCCACAAATTATATAATAAAAATAATTCCGGAAAAATTAGCTTAAAAAAATAAAATTTTGAGGCATCTTTAAGCTACTTTTTCATGAAAAAAAATCAAACCAACGCATTTAATTTTTTTGAGAAAATTAACCATTTCTGTCGAAATGTCGAAAAAAACCCTCAAACGGCGATATGTGAAACTAACAAAACTTCAAATATTATAATATTCGTAGCCGAAGAATAACTGTTTTCAATTAACCCAAGTTTGTTAAAATCGGCTCAGTCGTTTCGAAGATACAGGGTGTTCTTTACGGAAACCTATGAATACCCCCCACCACTTCATTTTTAGATATACAGGAAAAATAGTCAAACAAAAAAGGTTCAGATTATCGTCGTCTTCAAAGACCGGACATTTTTTTTTATGTTAATATAGCGGATTTCACAGAACAATCACTTTTTTAGATTTCAGATTGCAGTTACGCCCCATAGCGGCCATTTCAGAAACTTAAAAATATTTTCCAGGTTTTTCTCGTGGCCGTTTTATTAATAACTTTTTTACCGCAAGCCGTCCAAAAAAACCCGTATTTTATGTGCAAAAATAAATTTATACAAGCAAACAATGTTGAGTCGTTCAATTGCCCCCAAGTTTGTCCTCAACCGGTACCAGGTAGCTTTGTATTAGGCAATAGTACAAAAGCTGTCTGTGATCATCCTCCCAGGAGTAGATGACCGGGGAGGACCTGTCATCGTGAATTAGGCATTCCTATTTCATTTAAAGGTTTTTAAATCTCTTACTTTCACATGTGGATTATTTATCAAAAAGGAAACTTTCTTATAAATTTCCTTAACTACCCCGACTAGCATTTAATAAAAAATGCAAAATTACTTACTGTGTCACTGAAAAATGTCATTCAAATTACCGTAACCTTTTGAATATATTGATTAACAACAAAACTTCCGATGCGCTCTCTCTCTCTCTCTCTCTTTCTCTCCAAATCACATTTCCCTTTTACACATTTTCCTTAAGAAATTGTCAGCATAATCGTAGTTTACCTTAGAATTGAACAACAAAATACAACATGACAATCATTTTTACATAAACACTACGGACCCATGAATTTGTATAATTTTTCTGTTGGACGTTCAATACTTAATTTTTAAATGACAAATCTATCTTTTTTTGCATTGATTTATCCAAATTTCATGCATTAAAAAGAATAAAAAAACATGCAATAACATTTCGATACCGTATAAGTATACTTCAGGTTGCACGTCGGACAATGATGATAATACAACTTGAAACAGCCTCCTACATTTACAATGGTCTCAACGACGAAATAAAGGGAACGTGGTGGAAATACATCTGCCGGCATCAGCAGGAGCGGTGACACGGATGTTTACTCCACAAGCAAAGCCAAATTTTTTGCCACCGTGGTTACAACGCCACGTCTATTTATAATAGTTAATTAAAAATGTCGCAAATCACAAAAAGATAACGATACTTACAATAATGCTTATTGATTGTAATGGAACTCTACTTAAAAATTATTTTCCCACCACCCGCAGCCACGGAATTTTTGGAATAGAATTTACAGAAGTGAATACCATGATCGACATATCGAATTTTTTGTGATCATTTTTTGCAACATTTTCAATTAACTACATGCGAAATTAGATCACTCACTAGTAGGCGGGTGACACTTTGTAACCCGAAGGCCCAATCTTCAAATGAGTTTTGTTTGAAAAGTGATTTTAAAAGACTGTTCGACAATTTTGTTCCTTAACTCATCAAGTATGTACACAACAAATTTCGTGGTATTCTCTCCATTTTCGTTGTCCGGCCAAGAATTGCAGGGGAACTTTTTTTTTAGAATTTTCAGATTCGTCATTTTACATGGTGCATGGTCATATATACCACTAGGGCCTGCTTTTAGAATTCTTTTGTTTTGCGGGAAATTCAAACTGTGCCTAATACTTTTGGTTCATTCGGTATATTTCATAAAAGTATTATAAAATTACGACAGATGGCCTGCTTCGTGATCCCTACTTGAAAAAGTTCTCTAATACAAAATGTATTTGAAAATGTGGATACAGATTTTCCTATTGGGACGAAACTCGATACTTTACTTGGATATAGACACAAACACTATCTAATAGTGCACAGTCATGATGTTTTGTTCATAAGGTCAAACGATTTAGTTAGGAAAGAGGAGTGTGATAAGCGTTGTTGCCCAGTCTTGCACCATAATCTGTAAAACTTAGATTGGTAAACAGTCTAAAACTATATAAACACACAAGAAAGCTTTTACTGTAGATAAAAGTGCTTGAACTATTAAACATGAAGGTCTTGTGTTTTGTGCTACTTTGGTGTGTCATGCAGGTGAGTTGGTTGACAACCGCTTTTTGCAATGACAAAATGTCTCTATTAGGTGCTGTCAAGGGACGTGCCCGACGAATCACTAGACGACTACGCGTTTGAATGTTTTAAAGAACTCAACATCGATAAAGCGAAGTTCTCGTCGTACTTCGATGACGACATGAGGATGCGCGATTTGGATGAAACCGGAATTAAGATAATGAAATGTGGAGTTGAAAAGAGCAACTTTTTCAACCAGGACGGAAACGTTAATAAAGATGTGATGATGAAATCCGTTACCAAATGGCTTAAACTGCGGCTTACTAAGGGCGGGGATAAGGATTGGGAAGCGTTGGCCGAGCAATTTTGGGGAAAATGTGAGGATCGCTTGAAGGGGGAGGACAAAGTGGAGGTGATGAAAAATTGGAATCACTGTTTTACTGATGAAGTTATTCTTTATAATAAATAAACATGCTTTTTCTGTCTAATAAATAATGTTTAGACTTCCGCCAGTGTTGTTCTTTTAAATTTTAGGTTAGGAATCTGAGGCGTAACTCATAAGATTCCCAGAAAGTCAAACAGAAGGGACTTTGGATTATTTAATAATTAATGGCTAAAACTTTATACAGGATGTCCCGTGACTCGATGAACGTAGCTTAATACCATATTGCTCAATTTTAAATCGAAATTTCCTTATACACTTTGTCCAAAACTCAATCGTTAAGAAGTTATGGGCAATATTAAATTTAACAATAAATCAATCTAGTAGGCCATGAAATTATTTTGTCACACTGTTATTGTGACATTTTGTCGTTGGAATATTAGATATTTTTATATTCAGGAAACCTCCGCTGTTATTCCCTCACTGCTGCTTTTGCATATCCGTCCCAGTATCCGTAAATAAAGTGAATATCCGCATAATTATTCTTGATCTGAAAACCACTGTCGCCGTAACAATATGACAAAACAATTACATGGCCCACTAAATTGATTTATTGTTAAATTGAATATTGCCCTTCTCAACTATTGAGTTTTGGACAAAGTGTATAAGGACATTTCCACTTGGTGTTAAGCTATGTCCATCGCGGCACGGGACACCTTGTATAAACATACGTCCGCAAACGCTTTTCTATCGATCTACAGGGTGTTATAATTTTACGATCAGAACTAATAAAAAAAATGAAAAATAGGTTATCGCTTTAAGGCGACTGACTTTAGCTCACTTTTCATGAATTAATCAGTACCTCCCGAAAAGTAATATAACGGACTATTTATGTGTAGGTACAAGGGAAAATAAGTTATGTGATAAAATATTCTTATAAATTCTTATAAACTTAACATTGCGCAGTCTGCGCTTGAGCGCACCTGAAGCTTACAATATGCGATATGTTTGCCTTTACTAGAAGAATCTTTGGTTAAAATTTCAAAAAAAATCTCTATAAATAAGAATGTTGACATTGCGAAATTTAATCGTCAAAATTTTTCGTGTTTGATATGCCAGAGCTATAAGCTACTGAATGCAAAAAGAACGAACTAAGTATTTAGAAAACTATAGGAGTAGTCCTGTAAATTTAACTATAGTAAATAGGCTGAAGTAGTGATACTCTATTTCATAATAAAATAACGTTACAACAAATCAAAATCATAAACGAAGGTCTCGAGTGCATTTTAGTTAAACCTGACCTCGCAGCTGATCAAGTGATAGGTACGATTGCAGCTAAAGAAACCACGGAACTAGAAAAGAAATCATCCCCCAAGTAATCGACATAGACTAAATAAACCCCTAAAAAGGATCTAAAAAAGCGGCAGAGCACCTCGGCGGCATTGGATTTTCAATAGGTTTGTTACATGTGGTATGCAGGCTGATTCAAATTCGAGGGCCGAATCTCGGGAACTGTAAGAGATGGATAGGTAGAATAAATTTGGCAAAGTTCTGTGTTTTGATGCTTAACAAAATGTAGTTTTGAAATTGCAAAAATTCCAACTACTTTCGGAGATATCCGGAAAAACGCGAAATCTATTTTGCGAAATCGTTTTAATTTTTACTGAACTTATTTAAAAAGATATTAGAAATAAATGACACATAATATGGCCAATTTTTTCTCTCTACTCTTAAATTTTAAATTTGATGTTGCATCTCCAGGGTCAACAATCATCAACTTTGTTTTTTCTTATGAAAGTAATTTTCACTTTTTGTCATTTGATGTAGAATTTTTTTCTAATTTCAAAAATGTGAACATTACTATCTTTTAATAAGAAATAGCGCTAATAATTCGTAAAAACGCAAGAAACTAAGTACGAGTACGTACACTGCCCAAGGCAATGTTTTCTGGGCAAAAAAGAAGATATTTTAACGATATTAAAAAAAAATTGTGAATTTTGAAATCAGAAAACAATTCTCTATCAAATTACACAAAAAGCAAAAATTTCCTTCATAAGAAAAAATAAAGTGGCCATAATAATGTACTATTTATTTTGAAAAATAGCGAGCTTGTTTAGGCATCATCTAGCTACTTTTTCATGAAAAAAAATCAAACCAACGGATTTAATTTCTTTGAGAAAATTAACCATTTCTGTCGAAATGTCGAAAAAAAACCTCAAACGGCGATATGTGAAACTAACAAAACTTCAAATATTATAATATTTGTAGCCGAAGAATAACTGTTTTCAATTAACCCAAGTTAAAATCGGCTCAGTCGTTTCGAAGATACAGGGTGTTCTTTACGGAAACCTATAAATACCCCCCACCACTTCATTTTTAGATATACAGGAAAAATTGTCAAACAAAAAAGGTTCAGATTATCGTCGTCTTCAAAGACCGGACATTTTTTTGTTAGGTTAATATAGTGGAATTCACAGAACAATCACTTTTTTAGATTCCAGATTTGCAGTTACGCCCCCTAGCGGCCATTTCAGAAACTTAAAAATATTTTCCAGGTTTTTCTTTAGTAATAACTTTTTTTTACCGCAAGCCTCTACGATGGACAGGTTCCCAGATACAGTACCTCGTATTCTTATTTGGCCACCCTGTACAAGTTACACACTGCGCATGAAAGTACCTCGTTTAATATCGTAAATGTTAAATCCTGAAACTTTACGGTTAAACCTTAAAACTTGAACTACTATAACTACTATCCGGGACTCCCAAAAACTCTTATCAGAGTATCTCTTTAGGCCTTAAAAATACGCTATATCCTCTTGATTTTTTTGAGAGGTTCACAACAAAACTTCATTAGAGAAAATTGTTCTCTGTTAAACCCCCCGATTTTTATAAAGGTTTAAGAAATAAGGTTTGTTTGTGGAAACTTTTCATTAGAATACCACGAAAAATGCACTCCAACCCTCTCCCATTCGTTCGACTCTGATTTATTTCACACAAGACCTATTAATTTTTAGCACATTCTTGCAAATTTGTTTCTAAAAAGGTATCTTTAAATTTTACTGTGGCCGGCCGGCCAGCTGGATGGTAGCAAATGCGGCACCGTAGAAGAACGCTTGTAGAAAGACCGGGAGTGCACAATTGTACATGTGCCTACAGGGGCCACGTAATTTAGGTACAACTTTAGGGACGAGTGTGGAGTCCGCGACATCTGGGCGTCATCACCGAGCGTGTTATACTAACCTGGAGTTTTAAGTGTTTTACCATCTTCTACAGTTTTCGTGCGTTTTTAAAGTAGTTCCGTCGGAAAGATCTTGTAAACGCGCACAACTCCTGCGTGGCGGAATTTTAGTTTTTTTCTCTAGGGGCGAAATCAACCACCTTTTGCAAGGCGCGCGTCATCGAGGGGTACTTTGGGCGCTCAAAAGTTTCTTAGACCTTTAACCGCGGTGTCTCTTTCTCGTGTCGTCAATAGAAGCCCGAGTTGTGAGAGGCACCCAAAAATGTAGTACTATTTTGTGACAGGTCTTTACCACCAAAATGCGATCTTACTGATGATGGAGTCAAAACTTCAAACCCGAATTGCAGGTGAAAGGGAAATCGGAGGTGGGTGCCGGAAAGGCAATATGGTAACACCCGACGAGATGTTACTAATGGTGGAGTCAAAACTGCAGACGCGAATGGCGGGTGAACGGGCCGTTGGAAATGGGTACCGACAAAGTGAATGCGGTTTCCCCCAATCCCAATAAATCCTTGCTGAGAGTGGAGTCCGCTTTATTGGGAAACCCCAAGGGCATTCCGTTTTAAAGAAAATTAGAATCTCTTTGCTGACAGCATCCTTGTGTTTCTAACCTCCTGGAGTTTACCTTTTCCACGCAGCATTGAATATCCGAGAGTTGGATATTCAATGCACGCAGTAACTAATCCTCTGATTACAGCTAATTAGACGTTACGAGCCCTAATTCCAGATACAACAAGAGCCGCCCCTTCAACGTCCCGTACCTACGTAAAAATAAAATAAGTTATTGCTTAATCAGAAATGCTTAAATCTCTTCCGTTTTTGACCTCTTATGAGCCTACTGAAATATACCCGTTTACTTATGCTGTGTTCCTTGCAGTATTTTATTTTCTTTGTCTCTTATCTTCTGAAATTGAAGTACAACGTCACTTAAGATGAGATGAGCACGTGTCGATTTTTTTATCTTCGTGTGCGACAGTTACGTAACAGTTGCATTATACTAACGAAATTTTCTGTAATATTCAGTCTATAAAAAGTAAATCAAATAAATAGAAAAAGTGATACTACGTGAACTTTTAACCTTTAGTCGACTAATCACCAATAGTAATTATTTTGACAAATGCGGATAGCACCCTTGGCATTGCGACTAGGTATGATCTGGAGCCCCGCATCTATAGCGTTTAATATTACATTGTTCGCCAATTATTAACCTTGCGTAATAATGCAAATAAATAACTGTCAACAATTCTTTGCTCATACAAAATACAAAGTTGTGGAAACATTGTATTTAGGATCAAAGGTCAAAGTAATTATCTCCAGACTTTTTGGATGGAAAAAGGTCTCTAAAATACAAACATGATAAGAGATTATTCCCACCAAAATAACTCATTAAATATCATCGTTTGACTGTTACATCACAATATACTCTATAAATACATGCAAAGTGATGTTTTGAAGATAGTAGCCGAGGAATCGAAAATGAAGGTACACATTTTGAGTTTGGTGTTCGTTTGGTGTATCCTTCAGGTGAGTCAGCTACAGCACATTTCCTCCAGTCACTAATGAAGGATGCATTAGGTACTTTCTGTAAGATATCCGGAAGAACTAATCGAAGATTATATTCGCGAGTGCTTGGAAGAACTGAAACTGGAAAATGAGGTCTTGGATGTATATTTTGACGACATATTCAGAGTCGTCAATTTGGACGATAGGGGAGACAAACTAGTTGGATGCTTAGTTAAAAGATGCAACTATTACAGATCAGATGGAAAGTACAATAAGGAAGTTATGATTAAAGACATCGTCAAATGGATGAAGTTTTTGGTTAAGCGTGAAGTGGAAAATTACGAAGCATTGGCGGAGAAGCTACATGGAAACTGTGGTAACATGAATGGAAAGGATCGAGTTGAAAAGCTTATAAACTGGAATAATTGTTTGGCCGAAGAGATTGAATTATTAAATAAATGATTCTTGTGTTTTTCCTTATATAATATGATTCAGTAGAAATAAACTTACTTGCAAGGCCGACAAAGCTTTTTAAAAACAATTCCGCAAAAAAGTTACCAACTCAAACCATTTAGATTTCTTCGGTGTATGAAACGATACGCAACTGGGTATAATAAATATGCTTTATTATGCAGTATATATGCAGCATAATCTCAGGGCGAGGTTCAGCAACGCTGTTCTTCCACCTAAACCCTGAATTAAATAACAAATAACAACAAAAATGTTGCTTATTACTAACTAAAACTATCATTCTGTGATTCTAAATAATATTTTACTATGCATCCAATCCAAATCAAAAATCTAATAATAAAATTAATACAAAAAAAAATAAAGTGAACGGAGTTTACGAAACTATAACAACTTAAGCTATAGAATTAGTTTCAAATATAAATATGCTCAAATAAGAATATGCTCGTCCATTAACATATTACGAATTTTGACTTTAAACGTTTTCTGAGAACTATTTACTAACTCGGTTGACAAACAGTTGTAATAACGATACACATTATATGAAGAAGACCTTTGAAATAAAGCAGTAGAATGGAGGGGGGAGAAATGTTTCCACGAAATCTTGTATCAATGTTGTGCACGTCAGTTCTAAATGTAATGGTATTATATAAGTACGGAGGGCTTTTATAAATAATAATTTTATGAAAAAGACAGAACAGTTGCAGTTCCCTACGGTGATGCATAGAAAGCCAGTTGGCATCTTTTAACTTGTGGCTAATATGTTCGTATTTACGTATTCCATAGATAAAACATAGACGTCATGAATTTTGTACTCTCTGTATTCTAGTAGAGTAAGTTTATCTATGGATGGGTGATAAACAGGAACACAATAATTAAACTGAGGCAACACAAATGCTTCACAAAGTCTTATTCTAGTTTTAATGGTGAGAAAAGATCTTTGCCCGTAAAGTATCAGTCGAATTTTCAAACACGATGATTAAGGTTAATTATAGCTTATAGATAAAGAATAGTAAGCATCTTACTCTATGATCAAAGGTGGCTAGTACTTAGGGTTGATTCTCACTTGTGCTTCCCTCAGCTCGCTGACGCGACGCGATGTCGCGCTATAAAATGCCCTTCCTGCGCACTGAACCTCTCCTTTCTTACCCTGTGTCTTCTTGTCTTTCACGGACTCTCTCGCAAGCTTCTCCCTCACCTTCCCCACACCCAATTTCATTTATTGAACCTTGTTTACGGATCATAATGGAGTTACTTTCGCTACTGATTTGAAAGTCAGTCCCTTTGTTCTTGCTTCACTTAATCTAAGTCCTGGGACTAACTTACTTATTTAGATTTCCTTCTGTTGAGACATAGGAACCACAGGAATTGAAGCCATACATACTCCTAAGTTTATCTCTCTTATTTTTCCTTTCCCTCTCCCAGTTTTCCTACTCATTTTACGAACTCTTTCCAGTCATACTCACCAACTCTAAAAAGATACATGGAAAAAGGTATAATTTAAAATAAGTATTGGTCAAGAACCAGAATGTATATCTGAAGGTAACCGAAACCTATTGACATATTTTTGACATCTAGTTGTGTACTGCCACATTTCCGTCATTCACTCATTGGACAATCCCCCCGACAAGAAAATTTCAGCTTTAAGTCCCTTCACTGAAAGACAAGACCCATTGATTTAGCTCATAGAATAGAAAAATGTAGGCAACACATTGTTTTCACTATTTTGCATAAAACGTACGTCACCTGTTACTCTACAGACATCTCCTACCTACTTTTGTAATGGTAGCTCATAATTTGAATTTAATTTTTTCGGAATTTTTAACTTCGTAGATTATTTAAGGGTGGTAATTTATTGCTGTAGGTTTAATAACAGGAAAGTGCTAATGGTAATTTCAACACTTGAGTTAATTTAGATCTATGCAAAAGTCGAGGCTTGAATCTGAAGGTTATCCATCATATTTTTGTTCTGAGTATTTAAATTTTATAGAATATTGTTCTAATAATGACTTCCGGAAATCGTCGGCTCCAAGATGTCTTAGATAAGAAGAGTAATCGTACCTTATAGTATGTAAAATGAGTAAGTTTCGATTTCGGATTAGCCCTTAATTAACGCACGCCATCAGTTTATATATCTTTGCCGTTCTAATACATAATAATTGTGGTAGAAGGCATGTGGGTAGCCAGTTTTGTCACCGCCGGTGGTCAACTAACAAGGACGCTCTATGTTAAAGGAATTTTAAATGGAAATACATGCACCAAAAAGAGATATCAATAGGTAAGTCATGCTTTGGCGCGGTTCGGGAAACGTCACTGCCTTGCGTTTTTAAATGGATGCGCCACAATAGATATAGCTGGAAACAACACCATAATTGTAAAATGATAGTGTTATTAGTAGGTACCTCTTAAGAGGCTTACAGCAGATGGCGCTGATTGCGTTAGGACCTATTATCTGGTGGCCCATATTATGTGCATAGCCCATATTCGGACCAGTTCCTCTAACCTCTGGGCAAATTGGAACTGTTGGTTTGGTATTGCATGTAAAAAAATGGATCGATTTCATTACTGATTTTGTAGGTAATATATTCAAAACTGGATTTGGAGTAAAGTTTTTCTAGCATGCAAGTTACAAAAGAAGGTTTTGAAGTCATTTTTCAGAGATATAGTAATTTCCAGTACAGTACATACGTCACAATGAAATTTAGGTTAGGGCTAGCCGTGAGACTGACAGAAAATGTTCGCTAAAAAAGGAATTTACAAGTTCAAAATAGAAAATTCAATAATTTTAATTTAGAGAGGGGTAGTAAACCCCTTCGATTGCAGAAAAACCTCGCACCTCGCGTTGACACTATCGAAAATGTCAAGAGTATTTTTAGTCTTAACTTTTACAATATCTTGGTAAATTAACTTGGAACGAAACCTGCATTTGACACATCCTGTTTCAAGAATCAAATATAAACAGAAACCGCAGGCCGAACTTTTAGATTCAGTCCCAGAAATTATCTTTAATGAGTACCGCTAGCATTCTTGGCGGCTACCACATTCATAGCGTGGGTACAGTACACTATTGACCCTGGATAATAATAATAATAAATAATAGTATCTACAATTTTCAGGCAATCGTTTCAGTTATCCTCTGCTCCTACAAAACCTAAAGTTGTGAAAACTTTGTACCTTGTAGGAGCAAATGTCAAGTACAATTATCTTTTCGGAGAGGGAAAGGCTTCCAAAACACAAAGGTGATAAGAGATTATTCTTACCAAATATCTCATTAAAATTTATGGTTTGAATGTTACATCACAAAACTCTATAAATACACGCAAAGTGTTGTTTTGAAGGTAGTAACCGAGCCATCGAAAATGAAAGCGCACGTTTTGAGTTTGGTGTTCGTTTGGTGTATCGTTCAGGTGAGTCGGCTACAAACCATTTTTTCGGGTCCCTAATGAACGATGCTTTAGGTACTTTCTGTAAAATTTCCTGAAGAACTAATCGACGATTATATTCACGAGTGCTTGGAAGAACACAAGCTCGACAAAAAGGTATTGGATGGGTACTTTGACGACTCATTCAGAGTCGTCAATTTAGACGACAATGGACTCAAACTAACTGAGTGCATAATTGAGAAGAGTAAGTACTACGGACCCGATGGAAAATTTAATAAGGAGGTTATGATTAAAAATACCGCAAATTGGGCGAAGTTTTTGATTAAACATGAAGTTGAAGATTACGAAGCATTGGCGGCGAAGCTTCACGGAAACTGTGAAAAAGTGAATGGAAAGGATCGAGTCGAACAGCTTATAAACTGGAATAACTGTTTGGCCGGGGAAATTGAATTGTTAAACAAATGATTCTGGAGATTCTACATAATTGTTTGTTTTATTAAAATTTTATTAAGGTGAAAGTTTCTTTGCTCCTTTTTCTTTCATTCAAATCCGTTTCATTCATTTCCCCCCCCCCCCTACTTCACGGCCTTCTGTTTTCATTCTCATCATTTTCTGCGGATATTGGACTTATATCCCTCACTCACTTCCACTAACCTCTTGTGCCCAGTCGCATCCCTCCCCTTTCTTTGTTTTAACAAATCTAGTAAGATAGTAAGCTTTTCTACAGAAGTACTCTTTCCTCTGCTCCGTATTTCCCCAAGAGCTTCCGAGCTTGAATTCCCTTCATACCATAAAACTTACATTTCCTTAGTGATAAGTTGGGTTTTAAGTCAATAATTCTTTGAAGGGAGATGCACCAAGCAATCATTACCTTCTTGCGACACCTCGAAGTATAGTGTTAATCTTGAAATGCTGAGCCTTTATTTTTCATATTGTATATTAGCATACATTTTAAACCAAAAAATCATCAGTTCGAAATTGATTGAAAGGATTTAAGTGCTTCACGATTCCATGACATAAAATACTGAACCATGATATAGACCATGACATAATCTCTCATTGCGATATATATCTGTTGTGTTGTAAATAATCACGTGCGTCATATATTATTTTGAATGAGTTACAAAAATAAAATGTTACACCATGGACAACAATGTCCTTTTAAAAGTCATACAGATCAGTTAACTTGAGTCTAGACTGGGGAGTGAAGATTCAACACAATGGGTGGAGTAAGACAACCTTATTATGAAACAATACATTGGGTCTCGGTATAAGAAGGTTTGGGCCTTTTATTAATCAATCCATATAATATAATAGAATATAATATAATATAATATAATATAATATAATATAATATAATATAATATAATATAATATAATATAATATAATATAATATAATATAATATAATATAATATAATAGTCGATCAATTGGCATTGGTGTATCATTCCATATTTGAAGAACTTTGATCTAAAACAAAGTGTTTTCGAAGACTCTCACTAATTGCTCGTTGGGGATAAGATTATTCATTTTTTGGTACGGGATAATTTTGAGTTTTTTCAAAGATTATTTCCAATTATTTTGTGGAACAGGTCGAATGTTCTACAGAACTTCTTCGTTTTTATATGTTTAATCCCATAAAATGTATTTGTGTTGAGTAGTAGACATTAT